GCCTCGCGCGGCTGTGCGCTCACCTCCATTCTTAGAGATGCGAACCCCGCGGGAGCCGCGAGCCCAGGGAGGCGGGGACTCGTGGAACTGGGCCACTTGCTATTTTTGCATTCCCTGTCACAGGCAGAGGTGAAAACAGAATTTCATCACTGCATGTCACTGGTTTATGTTGGTGGGAATTTAGGCGCCTTTTCCCCCTCACTTAAAAAAATGGGAGAGAAAAGAGAAAACATGATACATAAACACAGACTTCTTGGAGCTGCTCTGCATCCTAAAGCGATCCTGTGGCCTTCAGTTCTCCTAATTCTATCATCTGTCAGGCTCCTTCAGTATCTTTGGTTATTTAATTTTCCAAAAAGTTTATGAAGGCAAATCCATCTCTCCTAATTAGCTTTGGACAAAGTAGGTCAAGCTTTGAATTCCTGGGTCTGGCCTTGTGCGTTCCATTCATAACTGGATCTCAGGCCTCTTAAGAGAAAACCTAGAATGATTTCATTTACTTCGCCTTCAGTCTTGAATCAGCTCAGGCCAACACCTAAAGCATGTGTCAAAATTTTATATCCAGGATTTATCTCATATGTGACATCCTGCCTATGCCAATAAAAATGGGAAAGGGTCTTGGGATAAGCATGCCTCCTCTGGATAGCTTAACTCTTTCCTTCCTGACACCATTATGACCAGAGAGTTGGAGACAATAAATCCATCTTCTGAAAAGGACCATAAATCCATCCATGAATTTACTTATCCATTTATCTATTGAACAAAGAACTACTGAGATGCCTCCTGTGGCTGGGCGCTGTGCTAGGGGCTGGCACTTACTGAAGTGAACAAAGTGGAATCTTGGATTCCACCTTCCTGGAGAAGACCAACAAATCCATAGAGAATTGCAGGGCAGCAGTGAGTCTGACAGAGTTAAGAGCAGGGTGCCATGGAGCACTGAAGAGGGTGTAAAGACAGGTATCAGAGGAGGTCACTGCAATACAGAGATGGGAGCTGGGTCCACTGTCCTCTGGGAAACATGATAAAGATTGAAATGCCAGAGCACCTAGGGAAGCAAGTGCTCAACACCAAGCACTTGGGATGATACCATCCCAAGCTTCCACTCCTGCCCCACTAACATCTGACCTTGTGATCATTCTGACATACATTCACATCTCAATCTACTCATGGTATCTATTTCAGGACTACAAAATCACGTTTTTAATATGGAGCTCACATTATATATCCTTAAAATAAAGAGAAATCAGAACCAACATGTGAAATTATCTTCGCCGTTTGCCAAGGTCAGGGTGACTTTGAGACAGATGTGTGTGTATGCCTCTGTGAGCACAGTGCTGCCTTCCAGCAGGGCAAGGATTCCGTGTTCTGGACAAGCCTCAGCATATAAAACCCAGACTTACGTAGTTTGTAATTATCTGTGTGCTGAGTTCCTCCTATTTGGAGATCCAAATGTGAAAAGGAGGGTAGAATCCCATATCTGATTTTAACCCAAACTGAAAACAGATTCATTTCTCCTCAGCAGTTGTTCCTTATCAGATGGGAACTTCTCCAACTTTGCACTTCTCTGGCACCTGAACTAAGAGACCTGACCCACATGGAACATTTGTTCAATAACTCTGGAAGTCAGTGCGCATTGTGTAGCCTGGTGTTATTGCAACATTAAGTGAAAGGCTGCTGTCGGGGCCGCCTACGTAAATGCAGCCATACCCGACCCATCTCCAGCATGCAGAAGTAGTTATTTATTTGGGGAAGTGTGGTCTAGTGGTGAAGGGCTGTGGTCAGAGCACGGGACCAGAAGTCAGAAAGACGCATGTAGCAAAATCAACTTCTTCAGGGACTTGGGGGAGTCACTTCTTAGACTTGTTTAGCACCTACATGCTTTTGGCCTTGTCTTTTCCATGTACTGATTATTTGCTTAGCACCTAGCACAGTGCCTGGCCCAAAGTAGGTGTTCCGTAAATACCCATGGAATGGATGAATGCCCTCATCCAAGTAAGGCAAATATCTGTCATTGACTTTTATGCATACTTAGAAATAAAATAGATAATGTTCTTTAAATCTTTGGAAAGGCTAAACAAGCTGAGTCTGTCATTCTTGAGTATGAATAGGCAAAAATTGGAAAAAAGAAATTAACAAGATGATAGGGCTATTTTCAGCTGGGGCAACCTCTGTGTATAAAGAACACCCTAGTAGTTCATGACAGAATATCAAACTTGTCCTTGTTAGTTAGCCCCATACATAAATGCCTCATTGTCTGCAGTGACAATAACCTTGTTACCACCACCCTCTAATCTATTCATTCTAAATGTCTGGACCCAAGAGGAAGAAGCATTCCACAATTCCTGCAGACTCACACACATGTGAGCCCAATTTAGGGTCTTGGGGGTCAAGGTTACTCACCCCCTGGCTCAGACAGCAAGCAAAAAGACTGCCCCTATTTCAAAAGAGTGGAGGCACAGGATTAGCAGCACTGCCACCACACACAACCCCCACTACCACCACCACCACTAATTAGTACTAGGGATTTAGCCTCTTTGAGAAAAACTGTTTTGACTCTGAACAACT